TAAAAAAATAAAAATAAAAATAAAATTGATCGCAATTCGAGTTTACGAGATTTTTATTATGTTTAAGAGCACAAAAGAAGATCAAATTTGGAAATTCTTTAGAACTAAAAGTATTGATTTCAAATTGCTTTGAAATTATTTTTTTATAGTCATATTTATAGTCTTATTTTTATTGAAAAATATCAATTTTATTTAAGTAGATGTATGGAAGAGTATGTATGTATGGATAGCTGTATGGACTAAATAGAATGGTTATCCGAAGAAAATAAGCTTGTCGTTGTTGATTGTTATAAAAACCATTTTACTATTTGTACGTAAGCTATACATCATTTTCTTATTACGAATGCGAAAAATGTGGGAAAAACAACCTACATTTACCGAACATGCAAAATCATTTTCAATTTTAAATTAAAGCATACATCAATTCAAATGAGGAATAATATGAGAAAAAGGTATTTAACATGTTTGTATATTATTATTTTATAAATTACCGTTAGCCTCATTAAAAACACATCACTTCACTCAATTTTCATTTTATATTATAAAGGAAGCTCGAGGGCTCGGAAATAATTCCAATCATATATATTTCAACTTTATCAAACGCAAAGCAAAACTTGTCGAATTATTATAATTCCATAAGCTTGTTTATATTTTAAAAAGTTATTCTTGGAAAATATTTCATAAAATAGTTAATAACAGCGTTAAAAAGTGAGCTAGACGTTATATTGTAAAAGATCACGAGTTGGAAGGTGTGAAGGTAAGGTTCAATTTTTTATATCGGTGAAGTGCCCAACTTTTACAAGAAACTTACTTTTCTTCTTTCCGTATATTCTCTCTCTCTCTCTCTCTCTCTCTCTCTCTCTCTCTCTGTCTCTCTCTCTCTCTTTCTGTGTGTGTGTGTGTGTGTGTGTGTGCGCGCGTTTTTTATTTTTTAGTTTGTTTTTTGTTGACGACAAATAAACTTGCATTTCGCATAATCTTGTTATCAAGTGGAAAGATGAGTAATTTCAATAATGCGAACTAGTCGTACATACATTGATTTAGAAAGTATAACGATTCAATTGATTAATAAATATGACAAAATTTCGAATTCGAATAGTAATTTTAATGAATTAATGATATAAACGGTCAAATAGATTTCATTCCCTTAACACGTCACCGTAATTTCATCATCTAAGGACCGTTAGCTTTTAAATAAGTATTTCGAAATCTAATCGATGAATAGGACAGACTCGACGTATATACAAAGCTGAATAAAATAAGGTAAAAATAGTAGAGATGGACCGAACCAAAATCCAGCTGTAAAACGAAATCTGCGGCAAAGTGAATCGAATGAATTAAATGTCAGGTCGAGCCGAGTTGGACAGGAAAACAAAGCGTTCCACTTTCTCTTCCGTCGCAATACATGCATAACTTATAAAACAGCATATTTATTTATCCACGTGTGCAATATTGTATAAAGCCCATTCATTCGATTGGCATGTCGCTTTTTCTGGACGCGCGCGCGCGCGCGCTTCATTCATTGCTTAAAATGGCGTTTAAGGAAGAAAGATTTTATTTTAGTTTAATCGCTGTGGCATTGTATAAAGATCTACATTACTAAATATAACGGAGCATAAATTATTTACCTAAGGCATTGTGTATTAAAAATTCGTGTACTCCCGTATGCTAAATATAGAACAAAATTATTAATCGGTATATGAAATATTTTCAATGCGCATTTGTTGTACATACCCTCCATTAATTATTAATGACAGGAAAATTCACACACGATTAAGTTTCAGAAAAAAAATTTAATTTAAGCCAATACTGGATATATTACTTCATTATAATCACGCGTGCGTGTGCGTGTCTTTTAGTTAATGTATTATTGTTCAAAAGTTGGAATTACACATATTTTTACAATAAAAGTCTATAATTATACTTTATTTTATTTTTTTTTTTTTTTTATTTGCTATTTATTTTATAAAATCCAATTTATAACTGGAGCATGAAATTAAAATTATTGTACTAGATACATAGATATTTGACCTTATTTTAGCGAAACTAAAATAAGCTTGGAGGAAAAAATAAGAAACGTAATTGCAAAATTACAATATTGTAAAATCACAGGGAGGTTATGATACTGCATTGGCTATAAATATTCTTTATTGCTTCATTTTATAATTCAAACCTGTCCGACGCTCTGCGATACTAATGTTTTATCTATTTTTCTATTTTATTTATGTTTTAAATTTTACGAGTAATTTATCATCTATTGGGGCTATACGTCAACTCTTGTGCTTATATTAGGTGAAGAGCAAATGTGTAAGTTTCACGAGCTTTTAATATGATGATAATTATTATAATGTTGTTGCTGTTGGTATTATCATTATTAACATTATTTATTAACAACAGGTATATCGATAGTGGCGCGTAAAGTGAGAGAAATACTGTCAAAGTAGGAAAAACAAGTTATGAATAATTCATAACGTAGCAATAATTTAATGATAAATGAAGTGGGTGAGGAATCGTTAAAATCAGCCTACATATTGGCAGTATTAGGCGTTATTGTGTCATGGGTATGATAGTCGTTGGGAATATTTTGTATTTTGTAGCATTGAGCTGATAAAGTCGTTATCGAGAGGGCACGAACGCCCAAAGCATAAATAGATTCAAACAATTGAAACAATCGGCTAGTTAATGTATCCGAAACGACCGAGTGCTGCTCCTACAATAAAAACTCTTTTACCCAGCATATCGACGAAAAACGTGGCTTATTTATAGCGAACAATAGAGTTGTCAATTATTCATTAACGATAAGCAATTTATTATTATTAAATGTTTAGATAAATGTTTCGAGTCTTCCTCTTAACGGGAAGTTTCCCGTAACGATTTCCGTTCGCTAGCTGTATTCGGCGAAGGCTGTTCGCAATAAAGAGCCAAGTACGGGTCGACGACGCGTCGAGCCAAGCGAATAAAAGTGAAGGATGCAATATAAAGAAAGGGATAGGAGTTAAGAGCGCGAGCCACGTAAAAATGTCTTTGCTAGTCTACCGAGGTAGAGTTCGGTGGATGTGGAGATAGCGAGGCGGTCGCGCGAAGCTTTAGCGTTTGGGCCCGCGGCAGAGCCGAAAATTGCCCTCCGCTCGGCCTTATTCCCATAATACTTACGAGCTCGCATTCAAAGTTGATAACCGGCTGAGAAATAATCGATCTGTAATAGTGGCGCAGCAGCTCGAGCGGCTACAGCGGCGCCGTCGCTTAAGCGCGCGAAGCTCGTGTCTAGTAGTCGCGCGTTAAGCTCGCGTCGTTCGCTTCGCGTCGCGTCAACTCTCGTCGAGGCTTGGCTCTCGTGCGCATGTTACCCCCCGTGCCCCCATCACCCTACCTCCCGTGGTGGTGGGGGGTACGGGCGGGTTACTAGTATAGTAGTAGTAGTAGTAGTAGTAGTAGTAGTAGTAGTAGTAGTAGTAGTAGTAGTAGTAGTAGTAGTAATAGTAGGGCAAGAAGGGAGGTATAAGGCGAGGTACGGGGAAAAGTCGCTCAGGGGGGATGCCATAGTGTAGTTGTATGGTGAAACAGGAGGAGGGTAATGGGGTGGATGAGGGAGTATGAGGGAGGGAGGGTGGTGGTACGCGCGTGACGGAGGTGTGCCGCTTGTGTGGCTTATCCGAAAGCTCGAAAGCTCGCGGGGCGCGGGTTGGGGCCAGGCAAGTCCGCGCCGGACTGTTGCTCGAGCGAGTGGAAGCGAGGAGCCCGAGGCGATTGATGACCAGCCATGCGAGAAGGCCCCCGTGACCCCGGGCTCAAAGACTCTTCAACGCCCTTAGATCGCTCTGATGGGAGAGGGAGGGACCGAAGAAACCGAGGGCACGCCGCTCTGTGTTCACACACACACACACACACACACTCTCTCTCTCTCTCTCTCTCTCTCTCTCTCTCTCTCTCTCTCTCTCCTTCATACACGCACACACAGATAGACACTCGCATGCACGCGCTCTTGACGTCGTCCGTCGCTCACATGAAAAGTGGAGTAGGCACAGAGGCCGGATTCGCCGTTACCGAGAGACCGACGTATTTAGACGTCTCTAGCGAACCCCTCGGCCGACGACTCCGGTCGCTCGACATAAACCAAAGCCATTGCGGCCCCGGGGTGAACGCGCGACCTGACGAAAGATGCCTCGTGCATATTGCAGGCTCTGCATTCGTGAAAAGTAGCGATTCTTTGTAACTGCGAAGCGACATAGACAACTCCTTGCCCCGAGAACTCCAAAGATCTCCAAAGAGCCCGGGTATCCACCGACTTTCTCATCACTGAAAGTCGCTTTCTTTCTCTACTGCCTTATTCAGAATTGCACCACCACCAACCAACCTCCCTCCCCCCCCCTCCCAACCACTTCGCCATTTACACCGCCACCTCTCCATACCCCCACTCCACGTTTCTCCAATTAATTCATGGTACAATAGCACTTTCTCTTATCCTACCAGCATCTTCAAAACTAATAAAATGCAATGCTTTGAGGTAGAATTTCCAAGTGGGGCGTGCAATTAATTAATGTAAATTACAATGGCTGGGCGCGAACGCTTGAAAAAGAGTATGTGCGAACGATCGAACTGTCGATCTTAGTTTAAGAAATAAAGCAATCCTTACGTCCACGTCCCTTTCCAATGATGGCTTACCAACGTGACGACGAAATTGCTCGCTTTAAGTAGTAATTCATAGATAATAGAGTGACAGTCGTCGGAGTATCTAGTTGGAGTACCAACTATTGATTCGCTTTGCACTTGCAATAGACAGCGTGTACATTGTGCATGAATTATTGAATGGGAGGGCGTAGGAGAGCATTTTTTAAGTGTAACACAGTGGGCCTGGGCTACGGGGGGTGGGAGGGGCGGGATGCCGTTTCAGAGAATACGTATGAGCGTGGAGAAGCAGAGCGGGATTAAGCATTACTCGATAAACTTGAGGGATAAAATCGACAAATAAGGTGATAGAGTGAGAAGAATTCCGTACTTACAATAGGTGTCCGTTGTCAATCGGTCGATAGTGTCTTGCTTCAGCTTACTATTCTTCTTGCCCATGTTTGCGACGTAACTTGAGCTTGATTATGCTTGACTTAAAGTAGCTCTCCTCCGTATCGTCGACTCTCGTCTATTGTTTTATTCCTGAATAGAAACAGTTAAGGACGTCGAGCGTCGGACCTCGCGATTAAACGCTAAAGAGCTCGTATTTTTCTCCCCCCTGCCCTCCTCACCCCCACGTTCCCCCCCCTCACCGCTTCTTTCAATACTATTTCTGCGAATTTGGCTCGATTTGTTTTCCTTTTTCAATTCTTAGTCTCGACTCTCCTGCGTACGATCATAAAAATACTTCGTTTTAAATGTGCACTCCGCACAGCCCCTCTTTCCTCATTCCTCGTCTCACTCTCACTCGACTATTCTTATGCTTTTCCCGTTTACCTTTGCTTTATCATCTCTAAAGCTTACGCTCTATACATAGTAATTATTGATAACATTGTTAACAATGGTAATTGCATATAGTAGCGATAGTAATGGTAGCATTAGCAATAGTAGGGACAATAGTAGCAGTGGCAGTAATAATAATAGTATTAATTTTAGTAGTGGTAGTAGTAAAAGCAGCAGCAGCAGCAGCAGCAGCAGCAGCAGCAGCAGCAGCAGCAGCAGCAGCAGCAGCAGCAGCAGCAGCAGCAGCAGCAGCAGCAGCAGCAGTAGCAGTAGTAGTGGTGGTGGTGGTGGTGGCAGTGCTGGTAATGGTGGTATTGTTAGTGGTGGAGGTGGGAGTAGCCTTTACAAATAAAATCTTGCGCGGGCTTATAAACTCAAGCACATGCTGCATTCGAGGATAAAAGTAATGGCGTGACGAGGCTATTTACAAAGATATCTATTTACAAAGATTGGACAAGCACTGGTTATGCATTCGTCCTGCAGTGGATAACAAAGGAGCGTGGAATTTGAAATTTATTGCAATCCATCGAGCGTTTCTATTGCCCAAATATACTCAACGACATCTGATATGCGACTCTAAAACAAAAAACCAAAAAAAAAAAAAAAAAACGTGACTGTCTTACAATGTGCGTATAGCGGAATTTTGCGATTGGAATGCTTAAAGTAGTGTCATCGCGTTCAATGATGGTTAAGAAAACGGCTGCATGTCATGCGGGTCGTTGAATTTAAAAGTTGAAAATGAAAAATATTATTGGTAAAATTTGAGATCGTTCTTTCCCT